CCTGCCCGCCTGTAAAAATAGATGTAAAAATAGATGTATGTGTGTTGTTTGCATATATATATATATATATATATATATATGTGGAATATGTATATATATTGATACTTACATAATAATATCTAATATATATTTATAAAACATTATATATAGAATATAAATATACTGTGTATGTATATTATACTATATATGTTTATATATAACTATATAATACAGTTATATATTTCCTGCTATATATGTGCTTTTAGATACACACATATATATGTGTGTGTGCAGTTCTCTATGTTTAATTTACTCCTTGGAGATAGAAGGTCTCCCTGTAGGTGTGGTGCCTTCAGGCTGTGGTCCCTTTCCAAGGGGATTGATGGTGAGAGGCTTCTCGGGGTGCAGGGGGTGAGTTCACTGGTAGGTGGGCAGTAGCTGGGTAAAAAGCCCTGCTGAAAGGGGGAGAAAAAGGCAAAATAGTTCTCCTTACAGGTAATAAGCTCTTTTTTTTTCTTTTTTGTTATTTTCTATTTTCTGTGCCTTGCCACCTAATGACAGCCCTTGATGTCTGCAAGTGCTTATGCTGATTTACTTTGGGTCCTGCTCCACTGTGCTCCCCTCCAAAAAAAGAAAACAAACCAAAAAAAAACAAACAAAAACTCCACAGGTTTTTGTGTTTTCTTTTGCAAATGTGATAGAGAACACAGGTGTAAAATTAAGTTTTGTCAGAAGCTTTACCTGCCTGAAGTGAGCACTTGTCCTGAGAGAGAAGGGGTGCTACTAGTAGCTTTAGCCTTGTGTGGGTAATGTTAACACAAATCTTTATTCTCCTCTTCTGGCAAGATGGAAGACTGTTTATCCAAAAAAATAGAAATCACCGTTTCGGAAGCAGAAAAACGGACTGGGAGAAATGCCATGAACATGCAAGAAACCTACACTGCTTACCTCATCGAGACAAGGTGGGTGACGAGAACTCGCCCTTTCTAGCCCTGGATGTGTCTTGCCAAACACATTCTCACTCCTTCCCTCATTGAAGTATTCAGGTGCTGTTGGTGAGCAGGCTTAGTTGGATTGTCATCTGTAACATGAGATCAATCTACATTGGAGGATCTTTTCCTATGAAAACTTGGTGTCTGGTCTCCAGTTAAGTTAATGATAGCATTGCATAACCGTTCCTATGAAAACTTGGTGTCTGGTCTCAATGATAGCATTGCATAACCATATACTGTAGCATTACATTTGGAGCTAGGAGCAAAAAAAATGTGCTTGAAGGGTGGTGGTGATTCCTTGGACGTGAATCGGATAAATTCATATCTGCAGATACGAAAGTTTAGGTGCAAGTTGTTCATTGAGGTCTAAAGTACTGGTTAGACACATTTATTATCACAAGAAAGTAGAGAAACATCATGATTGATGTAATTTGGACAAAATTTACAGCTCTAGCAATATTTGAAACATACATGATGCCAGAGCAAGCAAAACTGTGTAAATGTTCTCACTGGAGAACTTGATGCTTCCAGATTTCTTTCATTTTCTGTTAACAAGTTTAGTATTACAAGCATGGCAAACGTGCTACCCTAAAGCCAACTTGCAGTTTCAAGTGTTGAATAAAGAGCAAAACTTTGAAAGCTCCCTTGCAAGGAGGTTTTTAATCTGCCTGTGTGAAATCCTGTTACATTACTATTATTCCAGTTGTGTAGGATTGTGTTACTCAGCTGGAGCAAGAAGTTTGGTCTTTATTAGGAGTTTTGTCTCATGTTTTAGCATCAACAGTTTTAACTTCTGGGTCTTGCCTCAGAGATAGTGGACTCTGCAGAGGAAACTCCAAAACAAGGCGGTTGGACTTGTTTTAAGTACAGCACTTAGCTACACTTCAGAGTTTAAATTCTGAAATTCTATCACATGTCCTAGTTACTAGTTAAAGGCTTTAAACTTGTTTAACCAATTAAGGGACACACCAGTAATCATTACTCTGCAGACCATATGCAGGGATATGTTCACTGTATTTTGTTAAATTTCAAGAGTAAAATTGCTTGTAAGTACAGGGTGTCTTTTTTTTTTTCCCCAATACTGTAGCCCTCTGGCAGCTGCTGAGATGTCTTTTTAAATAATTCTGTTACAGTTTATGGATATTGAAGATCATATCTTGTCACACCAAAGTGATACTTTCCCCCGGCTCTCCCCCTCGTCCTGGTGCTCCTCAGTGAGAAGAGGGAAATTGGAGTGGTTTGTCTCTAGCTGCAATGTAAAGTGTGCTCTAGGGACGTCCTTACACAGCCCCCAAACATGCTGTCTGCATCTCCTCTCTCAATCATCCTTATATTACTTTAAACTCATTCCT